TTCTGTTGTGCATAAGGTTACTATGAGTCAGTACCAACTCGACAGGCAACTAACTACAACAACAACACATACCAGTGTTCATTGCAGCACTGTTCACAATATCCCAAAGGTGAAATCACCCATAAGTGAATAAATGGATAAACCAAATAGGGCACATACACACAATTGAATATTACTCAGACATAAAGACGTTCTGATATGTGCTACAACATGGGTGAACCTGGAAAACATCACATTGAGTGAAATAAGTCAGTCACAAAAGGATAAATATCGTGTGTGATTTCACTTATATAAAATATCTAGAACAGGCAAATGTGTACAGACTATAGGTTATTAGGTTATTAATGGTTATCATTAATATTAATGGGCAGGAGGAGGGGGGAAAAGGGACTTACTGCTTAGAACACACTAAGTGTCTGCTAAGGATGACAGGACAATGGAAGCAGCTGTGTAACATGGTGATCACAGTAAATGTTCCTAAGCTGCAGGTGTGAAGAATGTAGAAATGGTGTTTTCCTACAAGCCTATTTCCCACAACAACACAAAAATCAAGTTGATAGGGAAAAAATATTCCTGAAAGTGTTTTGGTCCCCAGGGTTCTTTAGAATGTGTTGTTGTTGTTGTTATGTGCCATGGAGTGACCCTGTATAGGGTTTCCGAGGCTGTAAATCTTTATGGGAACAGAAAGCTTCATCTTTCTCCCGCGGAACAGCTGGTAGTTTCGAACTAATGACCCTGAGGTTCGCAGCCAGATTTGTAACCACTACGCTATCAGAGCTCCTTTTAGAATGTGTAGTACAGTATATATGATATGAAGAATGTACTAAGCAAACTTGAGATTCTGATGAAGTTTTTTCCTCTCTATTTGGTATTTTTTATTTCTCCTAATTCAGTTTTAGACAAAAAACCAACTCCTGCTATTCACAGGAAGTCTTCCTGGAGCAGATTTGGGGAGCATTTTGACCTTCAAGCACTTGTGAAGTTTCCTTTGATGAAATTTGCTCTCAAAAATCTTAGTCTCAGAATGGAAGAACAGGACTGTCCTTGACCTTGAACCAACAGGTCAGTGGCTTGGAAGAAAGACCTGGTGATCTGCTCCTCAAAGTTTTCAGCCTTGGAAACCCTGTGGCATTGCAATTCCACCCCACAACAGATGGGGTCGCTCTGAGCTGAAATCACCTGGATGGCAACTAGTTAAAGCTCCTTCCTATCACCTTACTGTTTTAGCTCCCTCAGGGAAGTGGCACTTTGCTTGTTAGCGTGCTGCTGAGACTTGGATTGAAGTTGTGACCCTAGGGAACCGCTCTCTGGATGATTCCAAATCTTCTTAGGTACCAGGGTCTAGGTGGTCCCAGTCCTCTCCTACAGTCTGGTATGATTCACTTAGTGTCTGAAACAAACTGCAACAGCTGCTGGTCCAGTGTAAACACTTAATAAATACACAGCCTCAGGAAATCTCTTACTATTTGAAATCTAAGATCCTCAGAGACCTAAGAGCTTTTCTTTTCTTTATCAGAAGTAAAAAAGTCTAATAGCTGAAGGCAGTTCTGAGACCACAGGTATGTTTCCCGACTCTTTATTTATTTATTTTTTAAGGCAGCATCCTTCCCTCTGTGGTAGAAACAATGGGTTTATCTAGGAGAAAAGGGTTTAGAAATAGGTACAAAAATGACTTTTCATTTCCTTTTTCCTAGTCCCCTGTGTCATATCTCCAACAAACACCACACACACACACACACACACACACACACAAAACCTTCCATAGGTACTTTTGGAGTAGCTGTGCTCAAACAGCAGTTGACATGCTAGGTGGGGATCAACCATCTAAATTTCATTACTGGTGTTAATAAAGACCAGAAACCAAATTTACATGGCTAACCATCAGTCTAATAAAGAGAGACATAAATTCACTTGTATTAAGTACCAACCATTAACTATAAAGGGTTTTCTAAATTTCCCCAAATTTTATTTGACTTACCTATTTGGTTTTGTGTTGGGTTGCTAACTTTAAAGTCAGCATTTCAAGTCTACCAGCTGCTCGGTGGGAGAAAGATGACACTTTGTGCGCCTGTAAAGTTTTACAGCCTCAGAAACTCTATACAGGGTTGCTATGTTTTAGAAACAACTCCACAGTATTGTTGATAGCAAGAAGTTGATGTGAAAAAAACAAAACAAAAGACATGCTTACAGTCCCAAAGCTAGTAAGCATGAAAGCCAAGAGTCTAACACAAATTTGGGGTTTCAACACCATTCATTGATTCAACAACAATTTAACAGTCTACTATAAACCTGGAGTCCTGGTGTGGCATTGTTGGTTAATGCACTGGATTACAAAGATGGTTTGAAACGCAAGGCTGATGGTTCAAGCTCACCAGCTACTCCTCGGAAACTCGGTACAGGGTCGCTATGGATTGGAACCGACTCGATGGCATTTAACATCAACAGCATATTCTTGGCATTAGTCTAGTCAGTCAGTAATGATATACAAAACAGTGACCCAAACATTTCCCTAGTTATTCGGTTCAGTCTTTTTTGTTGTTGTTAAGTTCCATTGAGTTGATTCCAACTCATACTGACTTTATATAGGGCTCCAAGGAGCATCTGGTGGGTTTGAACTGCTGACCCTATGGTTAGCAGTCCAGTGCTTATCCTATAGCACCATACTAGGAATTGTTTGGTGGTGGTGGTGTGCCATGGAGTTAGTTCTGACTCACAGTGACCATGAATAGGGTTTTTGAGGTTGTAAATCTTTATGGGAGTAGAAAGCCTCATCTTTCTACCATGGAACAACATAGTTTCAAACTGCTGACCTTGAGGTTAGCAACCCAACTCGTAAACACAACACTACCAGGTCCTTTGAAATTCCTCAAATAGGGTATGATGATTAGGAATGATTCTTCAAGTCCCTGAGAAACAATTTTTGAAGGAACTTTTAATCCCAGACTATCTTGGTTGTTCAGTTTCCTCCTCCCCTTACCACAATAATAATCCCTTAAATTTGAATGAGTGTCAGTTACATGACACTTTCTCATTTGCTGTTTACTAAATAAGACAGTAAGGAGCTTTGGTAGCATAGTGGTTATGAATCGGGCTGCGAACCACAAGATCATCAGTTCGAAACTACCAGCTGTTCCTCGGAAGAAAGATGAGGCTTTCTGCTCCCGTAAAGATTTACAGCCTCAGTAAACCCTGTACAGGGTTGCTATGAGTCGGAACCAACTCCACGGCACATAACAACAACAACACTATCACGTACCATCTTTAGGCATTTTTAAAATACGTTTTTCTTTTAAGCCCAGGCAGAAAAGCTTGGTCTTTGTAGGACCTGGTGGGAGGAGATACAGCAGCCACAGGGTTTGAATGCAGGCTTTGGAACCCCTCAGGGATGACACTGGAGAAGGAGACATTTCCTGTCGTCACTGACTCTAGACTTCTTCTTGTTGCTCTGCGTCCAGACACATTTATTAACTTGACTGCAATGCAGACTAGAATGGGCTGTCTTTCGTGAAACCATAGACAGCACTTTGACTATTATTCCCGGAAGGATGAAGATGGCAGTCTGGTACAGTTCAATCTGGGGCATGTGTGATGGTGTTTAGTAATTGGATTTACAGCTTAGGTGAATATACTCAGGTGTTTAGTATGAGCCAAAAGAACTGATCAAATAAAGTGTCTGAGAAGGTGTTCTGGAAAAAGATTCCAGAATCCACATGACATCAGCCACATTTCATTCTTGGAGTTTCCCCAGACTGTTGAATCCTATTTAAGAGGTTGGTTTATGAGTTGGGAAGACGAGTCCTTAGTCAAAGGATTACAATATTTAACTCTAATCTGTTAAGCAGATCCCCCCCCCCATTAGACTTCCCCCACCAATGATCAGTAACATTTGGCTGAAGCTCTAGATCCTGAGCCAGCCACTTCATCTCACCAAAGCCCAGTTTTGTATACTTCCATACATTCATATCAGTAGATGATATATGGAGTCCTGGTGTGGTGCTGTAGGTTAAGCATTGGACTGCTAACTGCAAGGTTGGCAGTTCACACACACCAGCTGCACCTTGGAAGCCCTATACAGGGTTGCTATGAGTCAGAAACTAATTGATGGTACTTAACAAGAACAACAATATCATATATATTGTATTTTTATGCAAGTAACACTCACCTTCTATGTTTGTTTGCCAATAGTTCCCTTCCCCCGAGAAAGTATTTTTGCAAAATCACAACGCTAATGTTTTTAAACAGCAACACTGTTTTAAAAAAATTGGCATAGAAGCACTTGTGAAACTATCTCCCAGCAGGAGGAATCAATTGGCAAAGAAATGTAGAAAGCACATGCTATTTGCATAAAAATATAGTATATTGTTGTTGTTGTTGTTGTTAGGTGCCATCGAGTTGGTACTGACCCATAGCGACCTTATGCACAGCAGAACGAAACACTGCCCGATCCTGGGCTAACCTCACTGCTGTTGCCATAGTATATAGATGCATATTATAGATCTGCCGAACTCATGGAATTATTGAAAATAAATGAATAAGTGTACACAAAAAATATTTTTAATACTTCCTGGAACAGTGGTTCTGAAGTGCTAGGAACATATGGCAATGTCTGGAGGCACTGTGGCCATCACAACTGGGAGAGGGAGGGTTGCTGGGATGCTGTTAACATTGTTTTAATGCACAGGGAATTTACCTATAACAAAGAACCATCTAGTCCATAATATCAATAGTGCTGAGCTTGAGAAACTGTCCTGGAACACTGTATAGATTTTACAATTAAGTAGTCGTGTGATGTTGAAGACTATCAGGTATCAAGAAACTCTCTGAAATGGATTGCAGGATATGTCTGCTGAATTAAACAATCT